TAAAAATAATTTTTTTTTTATGAATAGTGATAACTTTTTAACTTTTTTTAATAACATTTTGAGTTTTTATTTTATTTTAAAGATGTCAAACCAGACCTTAAAATTATTTTAAAACTCTTTTTTTAAAGTTCTAAAACATTTTCCTACTTTAAAATTGTTGTGCGGGGTTGAGAAAAATGCTAAAAAACTGTCCCACTCACCCACGACTCAAACTCTAGGATAGTCGTTGTCAACATGATTTAACTTAATTTATAGAAAATGATCTACTATCGAAACATCAATGGATCTCATCGACTATCCTTAATAAGACCAAGTTTCAATTAAAATACAACAAGAAATTTCTACAGTGAATCACTGAAAATTACTTAACATTTCGTTCTCTTATGCTGTGTTTGGTTGGAAGATTTGGAGAGAAATTTAGAAAAATTAAATAGAAAATGTAGGTAAAATATAAATAAAATATGTTTATATTTTACCTAATTTTATACATTTTTTTTCCTTTTTTCTTAAATCTTTTCTTAAATTTTCTAACTAAATACAGCATTAAAGAATCAAATTTGACTCTTTGTTAAGAAAGGCCATGCGTTCACCACTAAAGCAATCACCCCATTAGTCACCCACCCACGTACCAAAGGACGAGAGAATACAGCTGTGCTTTGAAGTTGTTGTGCCTGTCATATGGGGTTGATATTGGGATAGAATTAGGGGTTGGTTGGTAGTGATTTTTTTAGTTGATTTTTAAATTTTTTTAATTTGAGATTTTTTTAATTGTTTGGTGTTTTTATTTGATTTTTTTGACTTTTTAGTTTTGGAATGAAAAAGGCTGTTTTTAGAAGGGTTTTGGAACTTTAGTTCCACCCTTTAGTTTGCATATAACGTTTGTTTGCAATTTTTAAAAATTAATTCCACGTTCACTTTTGAAAACTCGGTCGAATGAAGAAAAATTTGGACTAACTGTTCGTCTCACCGGTCGAGCGGCCGGTTGACCAGAACAATGTAATTTTTTTTTTTTTTTGCAATTGATACATGTTAATTTTTATATATTCAACAAAAAATATTTTCTGAATTTTTTAAAAAATTTTATGAGCTTAAATAGAATTTTAAGTTGTATATTTGGTTATGAGTTGTAAATTTTTGTATTAAATATCATATGTCACATCAAAAATTCTTCACTCAATTCAAAACTCTTTCATCAAACAAATTTTCTACACTCAAATCATAATTTCAAAATTCACAAACTCAAAATACAACTCTTATTTTCAAATCATATTTTAGAAAGCTCTATCAAATGCTACCAAACTTTTTTGTTGACTTTTTAAATTTTTTGACTTTTTTAACTTTTTTTTTTGTCCATATATGATTACTAGCGTATGCCCGTGCCTGAAGACACGGTATAAATAATATTGGTACTCATCAAACAAATTTTCTACACTCAAATCATAATTTCAAAATTCACAAACTCAAAATACAACTCTTATTTTCAAATCATATTTTAGAAAGCTCTATCAAATGCTACCAAACTTTTTTGTTGACTTTTTAAATTTTTTGACTTTTTTAACTTTTTTTTTGTCCATATATGATTACTAGCGTATGCCCGTGCCTGAAGACACGGTATAAATAATATTGGTACACATATCTTAAAAAAATCAATTAACATAAGTTATTAATATTGGTATCACATCTTTTACAAAAAAATCAATTCAAAATGATAATAATTTCACTGTTATAGAAATCAATTATAATAAATCAGTTTAAGATATCATACAATGACAGTTTGTTTAAGTTAAAATATAATTTATCAAATTCATTAGTAAAAGTTTAAATTAAAATATTAATTCGTATTTGAAATTTTTATTAAACTTTTTATAGAATTTCACCATCTAAAAAAGTATAATATTTAGGCCAAGTTTGGGAAGTCCCAAATAATCCATCTTTTTATCTTTTTTATCTTTTTTTCATCACATTACCTCTCTACTTTTCTGCACATCTTTTCGTAAAAAGACAAAATATAGCGATCCCGGTTATCCCTTTACTGTTCTGTTGTATTCCGGACTCTGTTCCGTGAAGTTGGTAGTGATATCTGTCTTGTTGTCGTCCTTAAATTCCACTTGATTGAGTTTTAGGATGTTTTGGGGAGAGTTGTTACAGGTGGATTAAGCCTTGGTCTTTACCCTTGTTGTCCAGGTTTTTGGTGTTACGCTCGAGCGGGTCATTTTGCACTCGAGCGGAGTTTGGTTTCTAGTTTAGCGCTCGAGCGGGTATTCTGGCACTCGAGCGGGGATTGCATACCTCTAGTATTTCGGGTTTCTGCAAAACTTCTGCAGATGTGATTTCTGCGCTCGAGCGGGTTTCTTTACGCTCGAGCGGTGGCGCTCGAGCGGGTTTGTTGGCGCTCGAGCGGGTAGTACTTTCTGGGTGCAAATTCTGGGATGTGGAAATCTGCGCTCGAGCGGACTGGTTTTTACGCTCGAGCGGAAGTGCTTTATTCTTGTGTATTGGCGCTCGAGCGGGCCTTATTGCGCTCGAGCGTGTCCAGAGTTTTGTTCTTGGCGCTCGAGCATCGTGTTCTCCGCTCGAGCGGGCCATACGCATATGAACTATCCGCTGGGTGATTTCAAATCACTTTTTGCTTTTCTTTCTCTCTCTTACTTTTTCTAAAAACCATTTTTGAGAGCCTCTCTCTCTAGATACTCCCTTCTCTCTAGGGTTTGATCTAGTTAGAGTGTCCTCCTTCTCTTCGGCCTTTGTAAAAGTTGTGTTGATCGTCGAGGGCGTCGTTTTGATCTGAATATCTCGGTCTTTGGAGCACTTTGGTTTTGGTCTCTTCTCCATCCGAGCTCTAACTTCGAGGTAGGGATAACCTACTCCTTACTATGAGCTTTGTCTTTAAATTTTGGTATTTTGAGATGTTGGGGTAGGTTTGATAATTTTGTGAAACTTCAGGGCCTTTGCGTAAATTTTACAAAAGTTGGGATTTTTATTTATATAAGACCTAAATGTATCTTTGACATGGGAAAGTGGAATTAATGTTGAAACATTAATGAAAATGGAACCTAAGGGTTGTAATGTGAATTATGGAAAATGACCTAATTACATTGTTTGATTAATTGGGATAATTAATTGTGAGAAATGAGGAAAATGAAATGGAAATTGTCAAGATTGGGAATGTATGGGGTTAAAGGGTGTAGTTGAATTGTTTATCACACACCGAAATGAAATGTTGATTGAATATCCATTGTGCATTTATTTCCTGTTTGAAATAATTGCTTTGGGCTATCGGTGGAGGATAGTCGTGATTGTTGTAGACAATGCATGATGATTAGGCAAACAGAAACTAATCAATGGGATGTGTCGTGGAACTTGACGATTGATAGAATACATTAACTTTATGTATTGTGTGATTGTATATAGAACCTATGTGTTTGTATACGTTATGTGTAGAGGAGGAGATGGGGGATGTACTCCGCGGTTTAGGGGAAGATAGGGGATTTGGCCATCTATCAACTGCTAATCTTTTAGTCATTGTTCATATTTGGTTTAGTGTATTTCTACTGGGCTGTGGCTCACCCTATATGGGAATATCATTTTCAGGTGCAGGTAGCATGCCACCTCCAAGGACGTAGTTTGGGAGGCTAGAGGCAGGCGGACTTTTGTCACTTTAATTTTTGATGTATTACATGTATATTCAAGCCAATGGCTTAATGTGTAAATTGAGTTAGTACTCTCTTATTGTGACCAAGTGTTAACTTAGAAAGCTGTAAGCCTTTAGGGCATTTGCTTTTGTTGTTAACATGTAATACTTTTCGTAATGAAACTCTGATAAATGGAAGAATGTGGAACTTTTATATATCAATGCATGGCTCTATTGTTGGGTTTAATGTTATTATTTTGAGGGCATTACACAAAAAATACACTTATTTAGGTCATCCCAAACAACCCCTTAAAATACTCATTCTCTCTCTCTCTCTCTCTGTAACGTCTCCCTTTCTCACTTCCTCCTCACATCCTCTCTCATCTCTTAATCTCCTCTCAAAGCTCAAATAACAAACCCTTTATTTCCTTTGTTCGATCTTCCTCTCTTTATTTTTTTTTTCACTCTATTTTATCTTAAATTTGTGATTTGATTTTGTTAAATAAAAAAAAATCAGCATCCATTTCAAAAACTTTGTTCAAAACCATAAACAATCAACACTCATTTTCCATTAAGAAATTAAATTCATTTCATAAATCCAACTGAAAATAAAAATATATTTTTAAAATCAAAACCTATTTTATAAAGATCAACCATTATTTCAAACCTAAAACTTTTTAAAAAATTAAATCCAAATCCATAAGCTACATTAAAAATAAAAAAAATAAAAAAAATCTATATAAATAAAAGAACAAACAGAACAGAGACATAAAAATAATAATAATAATAATAATTTAATGGTTAAAAACACAGAACCCACACCTTATCCATTAATTCCCCACTCATTCTCTCTCTTCCATCTTCTACCACTCATTCTCTTTATGAGATACATCTTACCTACGAATGAACATTTCAACATTTCAACATTAGTAGATTTTCTTTCAATTTTTATAAACTCAAAGCTCTTCAAATTGAAAATCATTTATTTTTTTTCCTCTCTAATTTTCTGCTTCGTGTGCTCCAGATCTACTCTTTCATAAGATACATCAAGTTTCTTAGTATTTTTATATGTGTGTATATCGGACTATTAAAATAAGGAACCCATTAGAATTTAGTGAATCCTAAAAACAAATCATTTATAATATTTCAGTACACCAATCTATAAGAGAGGTCATAAAAAAGTAATCTGGAATTGGATTCTTGTACATGTTCTTATGATATCAAATTTAGAAATGCAAACGACAAACAATCTAGAACAACATGCATACGCTAGTATATACATATAATGGAAACAAAAGAACGGAGTAATAGAGGGGAGACCATGCCCCCGCATTTCTCATGTGCAACCTATTGCTCAACAAACAAACACTTATCACAGAGGAACTACGGATATGGTTGATTAATATGTAAATTATGAGATACATTCCACTGTTCCTCAATCTTTTTCTCCATCCTAAAATGGGAATTTTTAATAAAAAGAAAGTGCATTCCTACATGATTTTTAAACAAAAATGTCACAAATACTATGCACCAGTAATAACCAAACATGGACAGTCCTTGAAGCTAATTTTATAGGAAGGTCACTGATTCACATCTTCATGCAAGCTGTTGTTAAACTGTCAGCCACTCCTGAAAGACAAACAATCCTAATCCATCTAACAATAAGCAAAAAACCAGGAAAACAATTCTCCAGTTTTGGAACACAAAAGATGCAAATTATAGGATCCCACATACAATTGATCATATGTGTAGAATGTACTAAGTAAGATTCCTGGAGAAAAAATAAATAAATAAATAAATAAGAAGGAGGAGGAAGATTCCCATATGAAATAGACTGGTTAAAGATTCTAATAAAAAACATGAAAAGTGCTCAAAACTGAAAATGAAGAATGAAAAATGAAAATCTAGAGAGCAGGTATGTCAGTGTGAATATATATATATATATATATATGCATAGATAAACAGAGTACCCTATATTCTCAAACAATTAATTTATGAAGATAAGTAGACTAAGATATCAAGACTTTCTTTAAATAAAATTAAATAAAAAGAAATAAAAACAAAATAAAATTGGTAATATAGGGCTTACAGAGGATGATATTTCCAGCAACCCATTTGCCAGTTCTTTCTCGGATTGCCGGTTGGCCTTGCAAATCAACACTTCCATCAAGAGTACACTCTTCTTCTTCTCCCTTGAACTTACCCTAAAATCCCAACAACATTTTTAAAAAAAAAAAATAGAGGAAAAAAATTAAATCAGACAGTATAAGTTCAATTCTTCTTTCCTTTCCCTTACATCCCTTTTGCCTTTTTTTGCCCCACCATTTCCTCCGATTTCTTTTCTCTTTTTGGAGGTTTTGAGAAAGAAAACCTAGAAAAATTAAACTGAGAAACCACAATTATTCCCCAAAACCAACCGGGCAAAATAGAAAAGAAAAGAAAAAAAAATGTGTCAGTTTAAATTCATAATGATTATGCAAAGTAATCCCAACACTATTTAAATTTAATCCCAACACTATTTAAATTTATTATAAATTTAATCCCAACATGGATTAAATTTAAATTTAATGCCAACACTATTAAATTTAATCCCAACACTATTTAAATTTAAATTTATTCCCAACACTATTTAAATTTAGATTTAATCCCAACACTATTTAAATTTAAATTTAATCCCAACACTGTTTGAATTTAATCCCAACACTATTTAAATTTAATCCCGAGATGTAGATTCCTCTATAATATTGTTCATTTGGAAAAGAACAATCAACTGACTGCCAACACAATACAATCATTACAGTCACAAACATATTTATAAATAAAAAAAATTAAAAAATAAAAAGCATAGATCAGTTGGAAAGAGTCAAACACAACTGTCACCCCAATCCATTTTGATAGTAGCAGCAACAGCAAGCTCATGGAAAAGGAAGACACTCGTCTTCACAACAACAGTTGAGATGTGATAACCACAACACCAAAACCATGTTCCCAAAATGTTTTTTGATAATAAAATCTGAAACTAACCGCATTTCCTTGTATCACATTGTTATCCCAAATTAACATTTGAAATTAACCACAACACCAAAACCAAGAATACTATACACAACTCAAAACCCTGAGAAAATTAACTCTTCTCATCATAACAAATAAATGTATAGCAATGGTAATGATTTTGTGTTGTAAACAGCGCTCTAATTTACATTGCATCATTCTGTGAAAAATTACAATAGGAAGGATACAAACTCTAGTATTACAATTTCTATCCTTCGGATAGCAAACAATCGAAATGTGGCTAGAGTGAAAGGGAGATATATTATGATGCAGCACTATTTCATGAAATATATTATGAAATATAAGGAAGCTAGTTAAATATTTTTTAATCCCAACACTATTTCATTACAAAAATTTAATTAAATCAAAAACAGTTCACCAAACAAAACACCAACCTTTTTACCTGTTTTCTGAAAACAAAAACAGAAAATGAAAACAGAAACATGCCTGTGGGATTGCAAGGCTTGCAATGGTGAGACCAGAGATGACATTAGACCTTAGAAGATTTAGACTATACTTGGGTCCCCATTGAAAAACAGGGAAGAAAAATTGAAGACCCAGAAGCAATTTAAATTTGAACATTCACGTCACCAAAGAAGATAAAATAAAAAAAAAACAAAAACAAAAACGTAGATTAAAATAATCTAAATTCAACCAACCAAATGTGAGAATTAACATTATGATGGAATGATCGTTATTCCGTTCTATCTTCATTTTAGTGAACCAAACACTACCTTAACATCTCAAACACATGCACAAAGATGGTATTTTGATGGCTTTTTGTAACCTATCACTAATATTTATCATTCAATACACGCCTTCGAACTAACCTACACATGCTGATGCTGGTGAAGTAATAAGGAGCAAGTTTCATCACTTTAATGAAAAAGACAAAAGTGAAGCAGGTAATTATGATACTATGAAATCAACAGATCAAAATTGCGAAAACTAACCATTTTTAAAACTTCTAGGAATGGTGCTCTGATATGAGAATCGAGCTTTCAAAAGGCTATTCTGACCACACCAAACAAATAATTAATTAATTAACTAAAATAAATCAAACATAGCTCTAAACAATAAATTAAGAATGAATTTCTAGTTAACTACAGCTTCAAACCAGAAATTTTTTTTAAAAAAAAATAATTTTAAAAAATAATAGGAAGAGCATATCCAATCCTTCTTAAAGAGCTAAAAAAGAGATTCAATCATTTCATCAAACTTGTATCAAATCAAAAGAATAGGACCAAATCCTTGGCCAAATTTCTAATAGTTACACACTTCAACTCAAATTTGATGAAATTATAAAAAGAGAACAAATTTCAGTGTTAAATAACAGATCAAGCTTTTAACCATATTTTCACTCAAATTTGATGAGGGGAAAAAAAAAGGATTGGATCAAGATTACAAAAACCCAATTGGAATTTCGAAAAATAACACACTCACATACACAAAATATCAAAGAATGATTATTGATTTTCTTTACTGTTTCCAATCAAAAGAAAAACCAAGAACTAATGAAATTTACAGTAATACAAGAATTGAGAGAAATGAGCATACAGATCTTTGCTTTAGCTGAATTATGAGAAGAACCCTAAAAAATTGAAACACCCAGAAGTAAGTTAAATTTCAAGCAAAGTCTGAAATCGCAATTCAAAGCAAACTCAAAATTGCAAGAGAAGAAAACGAACCCCGAGAGCTCCAATCGGGGTTCGAAGCAGAGAGAGAAAGAAAATACGGCGGCGGCGGCTGGCTGGGAGGGTTGCGAGTAGGAGGGTTGCGGGGCAGCGAGTGGGAGGGTTGTGGGGAGAGGCAGAGATCGGGTGGAGGGGGAGAGGCAACGAGCGGGAGGGTGGGGGGAGAGGGGGAAAGGCAAAGATCGGGTGAGAGAAAAGGAGAGATGTAGCGTCTCTGCGAAAGGAGGGAGAGGGGAAGAGGCATCGAGTGGGAGGGTAGAGGGAGAGGCAGCGAGTGGGAGGGTTTAATATATGTATGTACATATTAACTGTTTCAATCCCAAAAGATTCTGTATATTGTTGTTCTCAGTGCTTATCTATATATGGAGGTCTATACAACAAAATCGGCTTGGTGAGAGAGAAGGAGAGAGGTAGCATCTCTGCAACAGAGAAGAGATAAAGATGGAATGGGGAAGGAGACGTGGGTAGGTGGGAGAGAGCAGAGAAGGTTTGAGAATTGATCTGCACCCTTAATATATTTTTAGGATTGATCTCAGTCATTCAAATGAAGTGTATCTCTGATACATTTTATATATTTTCAAAAATCGTTCTGTTTTATTATATAGATTTAGCCCAAAATCAAAACCAAACCGGGGCTTAAATTAATTAGGTTTGTTTTAGCAATTAGGTTAAAAGTAGTTTTTTTAATTTTTAAAATTTTTTTGCCATATTATCTCTTTATTTTTTTATATATTTTTTTAAAAAAATTTAAAAAGTCAAAAAATTAATTTTTAATCTACTTTCCAAAATGAAGCCACATATTGTAAGATTTATAATATAAAAAAAAAAAAAAAAAATTCAGCATGTATAACTATATATTAATATTACATTTATTTTTTTAAAAAAAAATAGTAAGGCATTGGGGTGTTTGGAGAAAATGATTAAAAGCTGACTTCTTAATGTTTTCTGATTTTTTGGCATTTTTTGTGACAGAGAAAATGAGAAGTGACTTTTTACCCATTTTTCAAAATAGGCTTTTGTTTGATATCATCTAAAATAAAATAAAAAAAATTACAATTTAAAAGTTTTCAGGAGGAAAGGGTGCCTGAGAAGCCTTGCTTGCGAAATGACAAAATTGCCCCTGATTTGGACTGTTGCTACTGATTTCTGCCTATATAAAGCCATGTTTGGTTTGGACTTTTTGACTAAAAAAATACAAATGACAAAATTGGTTATATAAGTTCATAAGATAAAATATCACATCTAAATTATAATTATTATATTTTTCTTTCATAAAAGTTAAAAAAATTAAAAACAAAAATTAAACAAAATTAATAAAATCAAACTAAAATAACAAAAAAAAAACTAAAAAACCAAACTATAAAATGTGTCCATTTACATCATCACTCTCTTCACAAGCAAGACCGAGAGAGAAAAGCAAGAGAGAGAAAGAACATAGCGGGCAAAAATGTCGGGCAACATGTGAAGCTCTGTCAAGTGAGGTGACTTAACAATAGGGGCAAAAATATCATCTCAAATATTTACATTGGACTATTTTAAGAAAATAGTTAAAAATTACAACAATGATTCATCCCCCTTTTCCTCCCACCCCCTTTGACCCCCTCTCTCTCTCATTGCTCCTCCAATCACCACCCGTCACGTGGCAAAGAGGGTGAGGGGGTGATCTCCAAAAGGGGGTCCCAAGCATTATTCTAAAAATTATTTTTTTAGTTTTTAACTTATTTAGGGTTGATTTGGGAAGTGGGTTGGTTTTTTAATTTTTTATTTTTTTAATTATTTTAACTTGGGTTAAAAAGGTTGGTTTGAAAAGGACTTTCTAACTTTTTAATTTTTAAAATAGCCAAAAAAATCAAAAAGCCAAAAAGCCAACCCACTTCCCAAACGGAGGCTTAGGGTTGATTTAGGAAGTGGGTTGGTTTTTTAATTTTTTATTTTTTTAGTTATTTTAACTTGGGTTAAAAAGGTTGGTTTGAAAAGGACTTTCTAACTTTTTAATTTTTTTGTCTTTTTTTGTGAGAGAAGAGTGTAATGATTATGGATTAGATGTGATATTTTGTTTTTTGTGATTAAAATAATCTATTTTATCTTTTGTGACTAAAATAGCCAAAAAAACCTACTTTTGCTCTTCCCAAACGGTGAAGTTATATTATTTCTCATATTTTTTACATATTATTTAAAAAAATAAAAAAAAATTAAAAGTCAATTTTTAATTATCTTTTTAAAACAACCTATTATTTAGGCCAAGTTTGGGAACACCCCAAAAAGCCAAAAAGCCAAAAAGTTACTCAAAAAGTTAAAAAGTTATCACTATTCACCAAAAGTCAACAATTACGGCTGCACAACTCCCAATTCTAATTTTCTACTACAAATCAATTTTTACAATTTTTTATTACACATTTTTCCATAAAAAGTCAAAAAATTAACCCAAACATTCATATTTTCAACCTCAACTTTTTAGTCTAAAAAGACAAAAAGTGCACTTATTTAGTCTTCCCAAACTTGGCCTTAATATCGCGTTTTCTATTAAAAAAATTAAATATTTTTAAATATATTAATTTTTTCTATTATTTTAATAAAAAAATTAAAAAATATTGAAATAATTTATTCCTAAACAACCTCTTAATAATAGAGTATTTAATTTTTAAATTTTAATTATATGATTACAAATATTCAATCTTAAAAAAAATTTACGAATACACTTTTTGAACAAATGAATGCACTCTATTTGACAACGACAAAGCATCAAAACAAATTTGATATCGACCCCATGAAGGTTATAGTATTACAGCTAGAGGCATGAGCAATTATTCATTGCCGCAAAAAAAAATGTTCCAAAGAGTTACGTTAAATGACACCTCAAAAAATCTTTTTTTATTGTAAAAAAAAAAAAAAAAAAAGTTACGTTAAGACATTTTTAATGGTGCACCAAATTTTCTTACTAAATTTAAGTAAAATATTTATTTGGTATCAAGTCTTTTAATAGAAATTTTTGAAGCTTTATCAGAATATTAGTCGACTTAGCGGACGATTAGGTAGATGGCTAGTTGGTTGACCAACTAGTGTAAGTTTTTACAAAGTTTTACTTTTCGGTGGTTACCTAGTAGACATCTGATGGTGAAAATCCAATAGCAATGAACAGTAATTTGATGAAAAGCAAGTTGATCCTCAATTTGATGGAAAAATAAATAAAATTCTGAATTTGATACATATTTGATACAACCGTTGGAGTAGGAAAAGAAGTTACTTTTCATCAAATTTAAATTTGATGACAATTCTGAGTAACCATTGGAGATAGTCTTAGGGATCTCAAATAATCTATCAAATTTTTTACCAAATTTTTCATATGGGTGTGAGACCCCATACATATGTGGGTTTGTGTGAATTTGACACCTGTGTGAGTGATTTTCCGATCACACTGCCCAACTCAATATTCAGCTGGAGAACACTGGCAGAATAGATGACACCTGACTAACCTGTAACAAAAAAAGAAGATTCCGGCGGTGGTTCGTCCACTCGGGGACACTCCGACGATCAAATCAGTATATCTCTGAAAGATAATCAATAATACTAAACTCAATGCTCAAAGCATAAAATTGCGTACTTTAGATCCACGGGGGTGCCTCTCTTTTATAGTTACCTCAATCCTAATCCCAATAAAAGCCTGACTTCTATAGATTCCTGTTTAGTACTTACTTTGGACTCCTTCAGAGATAAAGATAAACTCCCTAAGAGTTTTATCCTTATCTTGGCTAAGTCTCCTCTTTATTCTAGGACTCTTGTCCCTTATCCGCTTTTCTCGGACTCCGATATCTTCGGAGATAACCTCGGCTTAACCGAGATCACCTCGGCGTCATGACCCCGCCACGTGGCACCTCGGCTGACACGTCGGCATCACCTTGCCACGCGTCGGTACTCAAAAATATATCTCCACAACTGCCCCCTAGGTTCTATTATCTCGATATTCTGAGGTGATGGAACCTATATCACTCTGTTTTCCCAGTATGTCAGTTTACAGTATCTCAGCTGAGATTATTATTTTGGCCGACATGTCTTTGTTGAAGAACAAGAGCTTCAAGAACCTTTTCACGCATATGAGCTGTCATACACCATAATTCAACCGTTTTTAGCCATGCGTTTCTTTCTTACTGGTTCGTACCTGTGACGCGCCTATAAGCCGTCTCTCTCTCACGTGCGCCGTCTGACGCATAGGCATATTGATTACTTTTTGCCGCCGTTTTCATTTTTAACAAAACATTTCTTCGATTTTTCCCTTTCACCTTATTCTTGTTTCTGAAAAACTTTTTCTCTCTCTAGTTTTTCTCATTTCTTCCATTGTTCCAGACCTCAAGCTCTGCAACGGCCCTCATTCTTCCTCCCGGTGAAGCTTCCGCCGTCTTGTTACTTCTGTAACCATCGTCTGACTTCGGCGATCCTTACACCGGCTTTATTTTTTCTGGTAAGTAACTGTTCCTTCTTATTTCAGTTCTTGATTGTCTTCCTGGAACTAGTTGTTATTACTGCTTCATTCGAATGTTCAATTTGTGAATCTGAATGTGTTTATTTCATGGTTTGGCCATTGCCCATATCTTGAACACACGCACTGTTTCACCACTTCCCTGTATTTCTGCCACTGATCTTGGCTCTATATTTCTTGTATTCCTTATGCTCTTGATAGACCATCTCTGTTCTTAATTCTGAAACTCCGTTCTTGCTTTTTGTTTTTTGTGTCTTTTCCAGATCTGTGCCTTTGATCTTCATCTCCATAGTTTTAGGTTTGGGATTTGTTTGTAGAACCCACAATTTAGGGCAAAACTGAAACATCCCTTACAAATTTCTGCACCAGCTTAAACCTAGGTTTTTGCCGAGGTCCTAATAACCCTTTTTTGATACATCTTCTTTCTGAAATTCAATACTTTTAGTTATCCCAATATCATGGGTATGTGGAAACATCGGGTAGACACCCCTTCCAAGCTAGACTTTTCAGGCAAGAGTTTGAAATCTCAGCCGATGTCAATCTGAGGTTGGCTGGGGATGATGACTCCATCATGCCTACTGATCACTCCATGCCCTTCCCTGTAGTTGCCTTTATTGAGTGTGGACTTCGGTTTCCACTTGACCCTTTTTTCCGTCAAATCCTTCATTTCTATAAGTTGAACCCAATGCAACTCGCTATCAATTCTTACCGAGTTATTACTGGTACCATAGCCTTAGTCAAACAAGAGAATGCCAGGATTACGCTTGCTGATTTCCAATACTGTTATACCATGTGTTGTCTTAGAAAAGACACGGACTATGTCTATTACCTTACGCCGAGATCCACCGAATATAAAATCGTAGCCGACCTCCCAGACTCCAACAAGGGAGCTAGAGACGATTACTTCATTGTCTCGGGCAATTGGAAGTTTCAGTCAAACGACGACCTCCATCTTTATCCCTTAAGCCGAACTGTTTTGGGGGAAGGAGTTAGTAAAGGCCACCCTTCATAAGTTTCTTTTTATCTTCTTGCATAAAGTTTTCAAT